GCAAGGTAACAGTGTTGCTAGGCTATACGCAAACACGGTGACACGGCACCGCTTCCTACTGAGACGTGGCATGCAACAGGCACCACTGCGGCTATATAAGGGAACTGCACAGCAGCTACGAGTCAGTTGAAATGTGGACATCGCAGAGTTCAGTAGTAGTCGAGCGAGTGTGTTATCAAGAGTCCTCAAGGCAGCAGCCTGTGAGTACAGTTGGAATATAGCAGCCGTCGTGGAAAGAAGAACTGGACGTGTGTGTAACTGTGTAATTGGGAGTGTGTGAGACAGAGAGACTTGTATAGCTCCCGTACTGTGAATACGTGTAGCCTACTGAAGATAGAGTGAACTGATTTGTTGTAAGGTTTGTAAAGTGTGGAAACCCGTAACATTGTTGTAATTAATTGTAGCCAATACTTGTAGATTGTTAAATAAACCAATTAACCATCTCTACGGCGTCTTCAGTAATGAAACACATTACAATATATATATATATATATATGACGCAAGCAGCACCCTGAGTTGGCCAAATGTTATATATATGACGCAGGACACGTGCACTCTTTGGGAGTGCTGACAGTTTGACCTTGGGTTTGAAACCAAAACAAACCTACCTAAGGTCATGTCAGTGGTTCATTCCTTAGCTCTGAACAATGAAATTGTTTATCATGATACTGGTTTTGATGCTATTTACATTTAGATATTACTGTTTATGACCTGGTCAGCCAAATATAGCCCAGCTTTGTTTCGAGAACTGATGAGGAAATATTCATCGGTACTTGCATATGAGTGCTTCCAAAGCCTTCAAGGAAGTCTGACGCATTCAAGGATTGGTTTTCAGTGACGAATTATCAGTTAGGAAGTCAGTGTTGGATTGTCTAATATTTCTTTATCAGTTAAAAAGTCAGTGTCAGACTGTCATATATATATCTTTGTACATCGTTTTTATTTTGTGTCTTGGAAGAGGTATAAACCCACTGAGCCAGTATTACTTTGTGAGTAAAAGGCATCTTCGCCACTGCAACTTTCGGTTTCAGTGTCGGACTGGCACTCTTTTCAACTAGTATTATAATTACTTTGCATCACTATTCTGGCAGTATTACTAACAGGTGAGAGTGTCGATTTGTCAGCGAACATAATTTATTCGATTTTGCTAGAAACCCCCCCTCCCCCAAGATGATTCTTCAATTGCACAAGGTGAATATCACGGTCAGTGGCATTTCTCTGAGGGAGGCCAAGGTTATCTGGGGCCCAAATGAGTCGACTGGAGGTGAAACATTGACAACACTGGCCAACCAAAGGGAAACAAAGTCGTTGTGTGTTTCGCTAAATAAGAAAAGCAGGAGCACGCTCTTATATTGTAAAAAGTGTGATTTTGCTTTGTGTGAGGTGTACTGCTTCGAGAAGTGCCATGCAGGTGAGAGCGTATCGTAAACTGTGAAGTGAAATATTGGACAACTCATAGGTAGATGCAAGGATCCTGAAGTTGGAAACAGGCCAATGGCATATGCCCTTCAACAAATATGAGAAAGATCTTCAAGAAAATGGAAAACACACAAGAATAAATACAAAATTTTTTATTATAATTGTCAAGTTCTTTACATAATGTTTCAAGGTACTCGTGATAGTTTCAAGTAATCCCTCAGAACATCAATGGCTTGCGTCTCTTCACCGTAATCCTGGAACAAAATATGAATGCTTGGCAAACAAACTCTCACAATGCAACTACCCTTATGGCATACAGTAATAACCTGCAAAGCTCACCTTAACAACAACACAGGAGCAACCAACGATTTTCCGAGCCTTGCCTGTGTTGTCAATCTTGCAAAGGCCTGCCCACTCACCAAGCTTCTTATTGTTGTCCACTTTAATCAGCGGGATCTGGTGTTCATTGCATAGAGCCTGTACCAGTTTCTTGTACATGGGTTCATTACAGTTTTCTGCTAGAACACACAGCAAAGCTTGTCGCCTGCAACCACAAGTGCCACATTTTTCCAGTCAGAAACTGTAAATTGGGTCTGAAGCATTCCAACCCAAAGGCCTAAAACCTCTGTTAATGTGTGCATGCCAAGAGCAGTGCAAATCATAACATGTGTGTATTTGCCAAACACATGATATCTGAAGTACTGACACTACCTTTGGAACACTCATTTGCTGCTTGAACTTCCTAATGTTCCTTGGTCATTGTTTGTTAATTGCCTACTTCAGATGCCCCCAATGGGAGAAGTGCTGTGAGGTCTAGTGACCTACGTGGCCATTCAGTGTAATCTTACATTATTTTAGTAATCATTTAGAACCTTGCAGAGCTAGTTTATGAAGCCACTGTGAACAAAAAATACACAACTATTTACACTGCCCATGATCTATGCAGGGTAACTTTCAGTCTGTGCAGGTCTCTTCCCAACAGAAACCACCTGCAGGAGATAAAGCATTCCCACTTCATTTAAAAATGAACAATTAAACATAAAATTTACTTATAAAATGAAGGTCCATAGGGTTGTGAGATGTTGAGGCTCCCACATTTTCTCTAGACAACTGGCTCACAGATGGTAGTAAGGTTGTCAGGCTTACATGCCAGCCGCCTTCCCCCCCCCCTCAGGAAGATTCCTGTTAGCTCAGTTGATCCTAGGGACATAGTGTGGCTGGAAGGATTTGGTAAACTGAAAAAATCCACCTCATATCAGGACCCAAATCTGCAACCTTCTGGCTTGTAGCACAGTGCCTCAACCAACTACGCTACTGCATGCCCATAACAAGAAACTGGGAGACAAAATTTTTAAGCAGCAAAAAATTATTTTTACTATAAATACCACTTCGCCATAAACTAGCAAAAAATTAAGACCCTTACGACGTACACTGACAAGAGATGAAATGGACCCATATCAACCACTCATATCCAGGTATTAAGTTGAGCTGCTCTGAACCTCGCTGACCTCACTGCAGACAATTGGGATCTATAATGGTGAAATCTCTGTACTAGGCTGACCGATTTGTCACACATGCAACTTCTTTCTGATTCCTATAAGTATTATTGGAGCTGGGATAGCACAGTCGATACAGCAACTGGTTACGGGATGGATGACCGAGGGGTTGGAGTTTGAGTACCAACTGGGTCAAGAATTTTCTATTCTCTTTAGTCATCCAGACCGGCTCTGGGATCCACCCAACCTCCTATCCAATGGGCACTGGGAGCTCTATCCGAACAGATAAGGCAGCAGGGATGTGAAGCTGACCACTCACCTCCAACTAGTGCTGAAGTCAAGAAAATGTGGATCTATACATCCACTCCCCCATATGCCTTCAGGGCGTAGTGCCTAATTAGTTAAGTACAAGGAGAACTTTACCTTTCACCATACTGGGTTCTATTTGTGCCATCCTAGCTTCAATCAATCCTACTAATGGCCCTCGACATATGAACGTTGGGTAAATCCAGGTTTCTTCATATAATCCTATTTTTGGTAATTCTTGTGTTCCCTATTCCAACTCAAGATGTCTTGCCTGTATGCCCCATACATCTCCTGTCACATTTGTAGAGCACAGTACAAACACCATGTGTCACACAAATATGTTTCTGGACATTATCCATCATCGTGTTTTAGATAAAAACAGGATGATGGCTAATGTCTACAAACATAATATTTGTGCCACAACCAAGTGCTCAGCTGATATATATATATATTAATTACTGGTTAATCTGTCATAGGTCGGTGCCCAGCAAATATGAATATTCAATACAAATATTGTTTCTGGACATTAGCCAAGGTGCTATTTTTTTTATTTAAAGCACAACGTTTTTGAGGTTGGATTCTGTCTCTGTCTGTCTTCAGGAGGAACCTACTCAGTAGGGTGGCAGTGCCATAGCTCAGGTGCTTAGTCACCAGCTTCCCACCGTGGCAGCCCGGGTTCAAGCCCAGGTCAGGTCATGTGGGATTTGTGATGGACAAAGTGACACTGGGGCAGATTTTCTCTGAGTACTTCAGTTTCCCCTACCAATCTTCATTCCACCAACTGCTCCACAATCACCATCATCTATAATCTGGGGCTGGTATAATAGGCCAATAGTGGCTGCAGTACCAAGCCTCACACATGGAAGAACAGGAATACTCAGTAGGGCCCAAATGATAGAGCTAGTCCCTCTCGGTCAGGAGATAAGGCCCAACTAAGTAGGTTTTACCTGAAGACGGAGACAGGATCCAGTCTTCGAAATGCTGTGCTTTAAATAAAAACAGGCTAACAAATATGACCAGAACCATGATATTCGTATTAATGTACCATCGTCGACGTCTCATGCCTGAAGATCCTCCATCTAGCATAGTTCTCATTAATAAACGCTGCTCTAATACAGCTGTGTCACAATGTTTCAAGGCAATGACTGTTCAAATTAGCCTCCTCGGTTCTGGCACCATACCAGTCTCATGGGTGGACACCAACATAGAAACATACTAACCCCATTTTCAGCGCCGAACTCTTAAGACCACAATAACACAGTATGTGCTAATAAGGTGACCTTGGAGCAAGTCACAATAAAAAATTATCACTACCCTCACAGATTAAATTTTAGTATAAGGAAGCACCAGCTAGTATTCACCCTCCCTGTCACACACATGTTCTCTTCTCTATGCTTCCAGTGTACTACACAGGTGCACTTCTCCTACAGCTTCATCTACTGCAAACTAAATATCATCAAAAGTATAATTACAAGCTTCAAACATTACACACAAGTTACTGCAACATTTATAAAAAAAGAAATTATGCCAACACACGGTTGGTAGTGCCTTACACCAGCCTGTTACACTGATCCAAGCCTCATCCCATCAAGAAAATTACGGTTCTATGATATAATGATACAAATTCCATCCCAAGTGCAAACAACATATTGTGTGTCCTTGATCTTGCTCCTCTACACTACATGAGTGCAACAGGATGCTTAAATATAATATTGTAAACGGTTGTTCTTTTTACATAATGGAAATCTTCTATGCGTCTTATGCATGAAGTTGTAAGATTGGCAGCACCATATGTTATTGTCCATTACACACTAATACTGGCCTCACCCTCTCCTGCTGTACTCGAACACCGTGCACAATACAAACATCTGTGCAGTGGGGACCTATTAATGTAACAGTGTGGAGAAGGGCATTGCTTGACGTTGTGCTTCCATATACTAGAATCCTACCTAGGTCTCCCCAAAACACTATACACCAGGCGGAACGTGCATAACATGAACAGTCGTATAATACGGTGTAGAAAAGGGCGAACTGCACCATAACATGATAATCTGAAAACAACATAAGTTTCACACATTTCAAAATCATACTTTTAGGTTTTACATACTTATCCAATGCCTTTGCAGCCTCATGCAAACCATGCGCCAGGCTCCCGTGGGTCAATGCCATTTTCAACACTTCTTGTAGGGCTGTGTTAATATCCATCCCACCGGTAGGTACTGCGGGGACGTCATCACTACCAAAAAAAACAATAACTCACATTCCCACGCCAAACATTAGCGAGAAATCTACAAAACTGCACTTATTTTCAGAAAGGCTATTCACAGCATATATAATAATTGGGTAACATCTCAGAAGAGGGAGCCCGCCTTGAGATCTTTCATCATCAAATGTTCTAAAAATCCGCGTTTCAAACAAATGGTAAGGTTAAATGCACAGAAAACTTACTTCTCTATATCGGACATTTTCTAGCCTTTATACCTGAGGAGCACAATAAAATATTACTATTAAATAGTTCGATTATTACTTATAAATGAACAATACTGGATGTTCACGTTTCATTCAGATGTAACAATTCACACGAAAACATTCTTCCACCGAAACACCTCATACCGGAAAAGGAAATGCTCCATGACGACTATCACGGATTATTAGATACACATGTGTGATTATAGGGTATTCGTTGCCAACGAAGTGGGTACATGTGCTGGCATCTATTCGTCGATGTAAAGTAATATTACAGTTACATCTACTCATCCGCTATATAACAACAGCGATAGTGTGGTGACGGTAGCTCCGTCGGCAATATTCTTCCTCTTATTTCTTCTCTTTTCTCTCGTGAAACAATTGAATAATTTTTAACATTGCAGAGACATGTTTTCCGTTTATTGTATGTGAACTGATGTAATCCGCTTCGCTTCATTTGCATTCATCAGGCGGAGGAAGCTCGTTCCTAAGCATCATCAGTCGTATGTATGTAAAAGTAAAAAGTAAAGCTATCCCTGTACCAGGCCGTGAAGGCCCATAGGGATGTGAGACATTGAGGGTCCCACATTATCTAGACAATCGGCTCAAAGATGGCGGTAAGGTTGTCAGCCTTACGCCCCGGCAGCGCTTTACTCCCCAGGAAAATTATTTAATGGTATATGAACTGAAATATATAACAAAATGTATGTCAAAATAAATTTCGACAAATTAGTAAAAATGAAAACTAACTTATGAATACATAATATGAACTACCACCCAAGGCAAACCTCAGATATGAAAGTGAGATGTGGTTATTGAATAAGACAGACAACCACAGATGAAAACTCCTCCTGTTGGGATTTAACAGAATTGGAGCACCGAAAGGATAACCAATAGCCAGTAACTGAGGAAGGGATTTCCTTTTAATTGCTTAGTGGGTGGTGGAGTCCAACTGGGTCCAGATGGAGAATTTGATGGAATGAAGATTGGTAGGGGAAACCGCAGTACTCGGAGAAACCCCGCCCCAGCGCCACTTTGTCCACCACAAAACCCACTTGACCAGACGCGGGATCGAACCCGGGCCGCCGCGGTGGGAAGCCAGTGACTAACCGCTTGAGCTATGGCGCGGCCATAACCAAGGAATAAGTATGCAAGTAACTAAAGGAATATAAATATAAGCGAAAAAATGCAAGTTCAAAAGATTACGTGAAATAAATCTGTAATTATCAGGCACAGCACAACTGTGGCGTAAAAAGTTGGAAAACTGAAGAATGCAGGTATTCTTGTGTCAGGATGAAAAGATAGTTACATAGCAAAATGTTTTTTGACACTCGTAGAAAGTGTTACATGTTTACATAAGACATAGAGGCAAATTGAGCGGAAGAGCCGATGATGTTTTATTTTTCATGTTACATGAATGTACAGCTATATTTAGTCGCTTTCGTAAACCTGGAAATGGCTATCAATATCGTAAAGTTTGTCGGCCCGTCCATCAGTAAGCTCCAGAACAGTTGCTCAGAGACGATATTCGAGAGTTTTACTAAAAATATGTCGATACTGCAAAACGAAAAAAAAAAATTAGATATAATGGATGCTATGCATGAAGATATATATATATATATATATGTTTCTGCACATATTTCGAGTATAACTCTAAATATTTATGGGGGCAAAAATATTTTGAACAAAATTTATAGAAAAAATATAATATTCATTTTATGGCCAATATATTTTACCGTAAGCCTTGCGGGATAATTTAACAAGCACTGTTGCACTTCTTGTACATTTCCGAAATTCTCTATTCAAAAAGCAATAATGATTTTCCGAAGATTACCGAATAAACGAAAATGGTTTCCCGAACACACACTGAGATTGCCGAAGTCTTTTGTTCTCGATAACAATTATAGAAGCTTCATTGTCATCTTAATTCATTGATTTATATATAAACATAAATTATTAGGAATGAAGTGTTGTGGTTGACGTTAAATACGTCTTTGAGATTATTCAAATAAACGTTGAAAATATTTTTGCTCTTATTGCATGAATATGCGAACATGCAATTAATAACACCTTCTACTGAATGCACCTGTTAAATATACTCTTCACATCTGCAGAACAGAGTTTTCAACATTTTTCAACTCACGGCACACCGAACAAGGCACTAAAATTAATAAGAGATACAATTTTTAAGAAAATACTTATTTTTAAAATAATATTGATCATGGAATTCAATGATTTTTTATTCCTCAATTTTTGCTCGCTTCTTTTCAATCTTCCCCCCAAATCCTGCTGCATTCTTGCGGACCCTTCGCGTCACACCAGTTGTTGTATCCCGAAGAATAGTAATGGGATTTTTATGTAGACCGAGGGGATTGTCTGTGGCTTGCTATCTTTGGAACACTAAAGAATTTAAATTCAAGTCTTCCAAAGTCGGTTGTCGGGTTAATTAGAATAAAGTGTTGAATAAAATAGTTCTACAAGGTTCAGTATGAATATTAATGACTACTGATTGATGAACAAACAGAAGGACGTGAATGTACTGTGCACCAATGCAGTAGGAATCGGCAGGTAGCAAGAGGTAGCCTCCAAGGAGGTGCTGACCGTAACGCTCGATGATGAACTGAAGGTCACTAATAACACACGAAGTGCGTGTAGCCAATGATGATAAGCCAATAAGCTGGAGAGGAGTCCGACAGAAGTTTACAAGTCTAAAGTCTAGCATGGTGTCCACTGTGGTTGACAGAGCTTCAGTTTTTAAAGGGATTCGAACCCCGAACTTGGTGCTTGGACACCTACAGACACGCCTTCTGAGGGCCTAGCTAGATTCAGGATCGACGTTTGATTCGTCGTTCTTAAAGAAGAGTACGACCATTCTGCTGTAAGGAGTACTGGATGATCATAGGAATCCTAAATTATGTGATGTTCAAGTCTAGAAAGGAGAACCCCTGCAGGAATTGCCCTTAAGCACGTTTCACCCCGAAAGTGTTAAGCTCTTATTCTATATTCACACGGAATTACGAAGTCTAGATTGCCCAAATACCGGAAACGGACACTTTAGAATAAACAAGCAGTGTCGCCCGTGATGCATGGTACACGCGCACGTCTCGTAAACTTAGGCAGGCGTTGAATGCATATTACACAGTGTGACGCGGCACATCTGCGGACCCTTCGTGTCATACCTGCTTGCCGCGGCACACCGGTTGAAAATCGCTGCCGTAGAATATTGTTTAACTGGCAAAATGATTTTTCAACACAACGTCTGCATATAAAAATGTCACCAGCAAATGCTAACCAGTCTGACGTATATGTATTTATTCTTCAAAATACGACTTACTGGGTCACAGGTCGGGCTGTAAATTGCGTTGATTGTACAATGCTCTATTTAATCACATCAAGAGGGTCTTAGGTGGCTGTCACATTCACGTGAGGGATTGTGTATAGATAAGGATGGATTCATTTGTGTCTCATACACGAGCTCTAGGCCAGGGGAGCCAAACTATGGTCCGCAAGAAGAACTGGCCTGGGTCACGAAGAATTCCATTTATCATTTATTTATTTACGGTTTATTAGCTGCAACTTGAGCACTTCAAATTATGTAGGATATTTGAATAACCTAACGGAAGGGATGTGGAAGGAAGCGCCTGTGGTCTAATTTGAGGCCCAAAGCAGTATTTGTCAGGTCGGACCGAGCAAAATAACGAAAAGATCAGCTACACAGCCAGTCTCTGGGCCGAGATGTGGGCTCAAGGCTTCCCCAGTACGGAGCAGGAACACTGTCAGCCGGACAGCGGGCTTCGCTTCCCGAACTGTATTAATGACAGAATCTGCCAACAATATTATACACTTTCGTAGGTGAACATGATGCATGAAAGGTGTTGTAATCACAATAAACAAATAAACAGAGGATTAAATGAACAAAAAATTAAAATAGAGTGAATAAGAAAATAAATTATAAAATTATAAAAAATACACAGATAAATAAATAATAAAACTGAAAATCAAGTAAATATACACGTAAATAACTAAGAAATATAGGCATAAGTAAATAAATAAATTATATAAGCAAAGAGCACATGCAGAAGAAAACAAATAAATACACGGATAAGTAAATATGTCGATGATTAAATAAACAGTGAAAAGTGAATACATAAGTAGATAAATAACGAGGTACTATCACAGTATTTTCTTTTCTCTTGGCACTACAGCCCCAGTGGGCCTAGGCCTACCTCCATGAACTTCTCCGTTCACTTCGGGTTTTCTAGATCTAACACATTCGGTAGAACTCCTTGGGCGGGTGATCAGCCCGCCGCAAGGCCTCTACCTGTACACAAACACAGAAAAACGCACACACACAAACCAAACATCCATGCCCTGAGTGGGATTCGAACCCACGATCCCGGTTTCCAAGCGAGCGAAGACAGTACATGCATTAGACCGCTCGGCTACCGTGACCGGCACTATTACAGTATTTGACTACAGAAATTGAGGAAAACCACTGAAATCCTCAATCAGGACAAGTTGTGTCCCTGTCGAGATTCGAACGGAGGACAAATCTAGAAATATATATTTGTGCAGTCTCCCACTTTTTCAGGATGTCGTTCCAGAATGAGTACAGATTAGGACAGACCCACGTATAACGTAGCTGTGAATAACTTGTAACTGCTCAGAAAAATTCTCGTACGATTTCCCGGCGGGTGGTTACCTTCGAGAAATTAGCACCGGCACCCACAGGACAAGTAACTGTCGTCCCTGCTCTAGACAGGATGAAGATACAGTACATCTTGAAGTTAGTATGGAGTTAGCAGTAGTGACTGCTTCACTCTTCGCCACTAAATTCCGTCTAAAACTAGGAAATCGATTAGAACGAATGAAAACTAATATCCAATTACATCAAACAAAGAAAAACAAACTCCGTGGCCTGTAGTCCGCAAGCGAAATATACCGACCGAGCGACCGCAGCTTGTCGGCGAGGTTAGTACCGACTTTAGGCCGTGCCATAGCTCAAGCGGTTAGTGGCTGGCTTCCACCGCAGCGGCCCGGATTCGATCCCGGGTCTGGTCAAGTGGGATTTCTGGTGTACAAAGTGGCGCTGGGGCAGGTTTTCTCCGAGTACTTCGGTTTCCCCTGCCAATCTTCATTCCACGAATTGCTCCACAATCACCCT